CATCGGAATAATGCCATTCCGACGGATGAGCCGCTTCTGTCGCAAGATCACCGCCCGCTGCTCGGCGATCACCGACTGAGCGTGCAGCAAAGGTTGAGTGCCTGTGGAGCGGTACAACCGCACCGACTCCTGCAGCTGTTCGAAGTGCTTGGAAGCAATGCCCTGAAGGGTGACGAACGCCGCATCCCTCTCAGAAATGGATCGGAGAAGGACGTCGATCTCGGCGTCTCGATCCAAGACTTGCTGATGGTGGAGCTGGGCCTGACCCAACGCAGCGTCAACCTTGCTCTGCTCAGCTGCGATGCCTTGAGCAAGTTTTGCCTCACTCAGAGCTACAGCCTTTCGCAGCGACGCGAGGAGATTAGCCGATTGCGTGGCAGCAGCCTCCAATCGAGACACCTGCTGTTGAGCCGACGAGAGCTGAGTTGACAAGTCGACATTGCTGAGAGCAAGCGAGTCCAGTCGCCGAGTCAGTGCGCGGTTCTCCTCCTGAGCAGCTTGATTGTCAGCTTGGAGATCGCCGATGATCTTTGGATAATCAAGCGCGGCGTAGTTGCCTTTCAAGATATCCAACAGTTCCCCCGCGGAAGCAGCATGCAAAATCGCTCGCCGCTGCACGGGGTCGGAGGGCTCCACGGAACGAGTAAATCCGTAAGCCATGAGCCTCGCCAAGAAGGTCAATTCTTCTCGGCGATCATGCCCTTGCTCGTTAATTCTGGCCATGAGGGAGTCAAGACTCACTGGAGCAGCCGTGATTGGCTGATTGGTGGCGCCCGAAGTGGTGTCGCCCGGCAAGCTCGGTGGACCAGAAAGGCGCACGCGAGAAGACTCTGCCGACTCCGCGTCAGACTCATGGGAAGTTGTCAGGTCAACCAGCCCAGCTTCATGCCGGTCGCTGACCCCACGAGTACCGACGGGTCGAGGAATCGACTCAGCTGGCACGCCTTCACCTCGACGAGGGGTTGGAGAAGAAGGATGGTGCCACGGGTTGTGCTGGAACAACATGCGAAGAGTAAGGAGCTGCCAAGTGAGTGACAGCGGAGGCAACGAACGTACCAAAGAAGGTGGTGGGGAGCCGCGAGACGTCATCAGCCGAGTACGGACCAACGGTGGCAGAACAAATGAAGGATTAAGACACTCACCAGCTCGGCTCGTATCATAACCGGGGCAGTTGTGGTGTAGGGATTTTCAGATTCGACCATACGCCGACCTACTTTAGGTCAAGAATCGGCTCGGTCTGATAACCCAGAGCTTAGGAGCCAAGGATCACGGTAAGTACTCGGCGATCTGTCCGGATATGCTATCCGGACAGCCGCTGAGCTCAACGGTCGCCGGAACTCAGCTGAAGGGTCGGTAGAGATCCGAAACGACTACATTTCATTAGATATTTGTATGAGAAGCATATGATTAAATAGGGGGAGCCGAAAGGGCTCCCAGAAGATAACAGAGCAGAATTTTCCTAGTCCAAGACACGTGTACACTTTTCCGGTAAGTCCCTGCATAGGGCTGGATTATGCCTGTCGTCAATACTCGAGAGGCATAGCTTGTAGGGTATTGACTGGTAGCGCCAAGAGATTAGGTGGTCCGGGTAGGACAAAGTCTCGCTACGCGCGAAAGAAAGTCCCGCATACTCAGCGGGCCGGTACGTCGGATAGCCCGGGTGTCGTAACACTTCTAGCTGAGCAGCCTCTGCGCTCGGTGACCTGTAAAAGCGCTCGCGCGCCGTCGTCCATCCTTTGGTGGAGGGCACAGGGTTGTGAACGAGCTCAGCCGAACCAAACTCGGCGGAGCCTCGGAAGTGATCTGACTTGGTTCGTCGGAACCGAGTGGAAGCGAGCCACTCGTCTGTCCCGGAAGGGCCGGACCGCGAGGGGACCACCCTCTGCGCAGGCCATACAACCGCCAACCTAACTCGGCGATTCGTTGTGGTTTGTGTAAGGAATCCACATCTGACGATATTTGTGTGTTCTACTACACCACAGTTCGCATTCGTGACCATATATATATTTGGAGAATCTTTCCAGAAATATAGAACTTAGGCTTTGGCTGGCGCAGCTAGTGCCAAAAGTCCTGTGGAAAAAAATCTTCAGGTTGCAATGCCTCTATTGTCGGAGGACATAAGTAAACAATTCAGAAACAATGAATAAGTAAGCCTCTCAGCACACCGAGGTGCTACAGCTGCTCAAAGAAACTCGAGAGAGTTTTACGTCCATGCTTCAAGGAAACATGATGTTTCGCCTGTCACCTGTGGTTGCCCCCGCCAGATCTGATAGCACTGATATGAACATCACGAGCCTGCTCAAAGTCAACCAACGAGTAGTACAGTTAGTGAAGCTCATCTTACATCAACCTTTGGCGCATCACCAAAATATTCTATGAGCAGAGGGATCTCAACAGTGAATGAACTGTGGGCTGAATGGCACGAAGGAATCGCAAAAAAACCATCTATTGAGTATCTCGGAAGTACGTACGGTACAAAATGGCGTCAATCGCCAAGGGAGGCGAAGTTTTTCTCAAGACGTCTTTGTGTGATTAAACACGTACAAGCACTGGTTGGTGGAGGTCTTTCAATCGAATCCGCGCTGGACCGCGCAGATATTGAGCGCGGAAGAAGGAGCATCGACGCTTTCTCGAAGTATCTAAGCAAAAAGAAACCAAAATAAGCATTTATAGCTAATTGGCAAAAAGTAAAAAAAATCATTACAACTAGTGCATGATACATTGCTTCTTACCTACGCGTGGTCGAGCTAGCTGCTGTTTTGTATCATGGTCTTGTAGTTGTGTCGGTAGGACCTTTGGTCACGATCGCAAGTGGTAACTCGAGCTCCGTCTTCAACGGCCCAGTCGTCCGGCTTGGGCTCTATGTCTCTGTAGTCGGAAGTCGGCACGACGCTTTAGCCAGCTCCTGCGTCTCTACAATGTACAGAGGAGACGTCATCTCACGCATTCTATGTAGACGCTACTCTCACCGTAATTATCGTATAAGTAGACTCCACTTTTGACCACTTCTCGGATGCCCTCGACCAACGACGTCTCAGTCCGTGAGCTTCGTAGAATTCTCAACCAGCCCCGTCTCTTCAATAGCAGGCGTTAGTGTCACCTCCGATGTCATGGCCTTGTACGTCGCGAAGTCCGTCTCCGTCTCCTTGCTAACACCTTGCATAGACGGAAAAGCCGGCACCCCCGTCGTCTTGTGAGTCTTGCGTGCTGCAACAAGCTGGAAATTGACGTTTACAATATTTGGCTTGCTTTATGACCAATAGAATTGCTTATATTAGGTCAGGACCTAATCGTGATATCTTCAAGATAACATCCGATTCTTGCCGCTTATCAGCGGATACCAGGTCACAAGGTCAGGACTAAGTCATGACCTTTTTGCTGATACTTAAATATAATCTTAGACTTCGGATCACTCCGACGACATGAACGGCGAGCCACCTCTACCTGACGCTGGCGAGCTCGACTTCGCCGCTATGGGCCGAGCCATACGGGGGAGCGCTCCTTTGTAAAAGGTGCTTCCGGTGCAAGATGGGAGATGCGAGAGAGAGTGAGAGTGAGAGAGAGTCGGAGCTTGACTTCATCGCTATGGGCCGATCCATACTGGGGAGCGCTCCTCTGCTTGACTGGGACGAGCCACACTTGAGTGCTCCTTTGTAAAAGCTGTGGCTGGTGAGGGATGGTCGCTACAGCTTATCTAAGTGGGAACGAGTGAAAGCCCGCAAGGCGTCTAGCACCGATATGGAGGTGCGATTGTTTCGCAGTAGGGTGAAGGAGTTGGCAAGGGTTAAAAATTAAATTTAATTAACCCGTTAATGCTCACGAAGGTCTGGATTTGGGTTTAGAAGGGTGATATAATTCCGGTAGGTCACAAAGGCAGCTTTAACCAAAACGTAGCGTGTTTAGGACTCAGAAGAGTTTTATTGGCCCCAGCGTTAGGACCTATTGCTGGTTTTAACTTCAGGGGGTCTATACTTTGGTACTGCGGGCTTAAAAGAAGACTCGAATTTCAAACGTTTTGACTTGATGTCACAAATGCGTATCATCGACCAAAAGAAAATTGCTCATTTGGAAACTTAGGCATTTGAGGTTTTTCAAAAACTTAGGTATAAACCTCAAAACCTTAAGAACCCGAATACCGAAATATATGTAGCTATTTGGGAGCAAAGTCGTACACGGCCTTAACTATTTTAACTTTAATTCCTTCACTCAAACCCTAAATTTTACCTCTTAGACACTCCTTAACTCTCTCACTACAGGTACATACATGTATTACCTAAAGCACCACTTTAATTTTCTTAAATACCGGTTCTCGTAAATTCCTAAGCAAATATCGGCTGAGTATTTGGTAGGGTCGTCCATCACAAAGATAACTCAGCCTAGTCTGGAAGTTCAAAAGCGATGTCTTGATGCGTGATGACGACAAAAGGCTATTAACGCTCGAGTGGCTTTACGACTGATGGTATCAAAGAATGTCACTTGCATCGCTCCACGGAGAATACGGTTTTGGTAATCTGCCTGCTGGACAATTGGTTTTCAAAACTTGCTTGGTTCCATGAGTTTTTCGATGCGTTGTGGTGAACGCATTTGTAGTGCGCCAATACTTGCGACGATCGTGCGGTCCATCCCGCCCTCACCAGTTCGGTTATGCAAAAATGCAGTACAAAAATAAAGGATCCCACGACAATCGAAATCTCACCGTTGACAGTCAACTTGACTCCCACCAGCCGCAGAAAAGCAAGCGGCAGACTTTTGGCGAAAATCCGACTTGTCAAGCACCGAGCTGGCTACCGGGACAGCATCTGTTGGTGCTGTCAAATTTTGTCGACTGGGACAACTCGCGTGCTGGCAGCATATGCAAATCCTGTGGCTCCCAACATTGATTTCCAAACTGGCGCCGTGTGACTTGAAGAAGGTCACGTAGCGTGTCGCTAAAAGAAAAGAACGTCATTTCCCGATTTAGCGGAGGCCGAATATTCCACTCGACATCCCTGTACAACAAAATGGACGCCTCTCGCTCGGCGCGTCCGGCTCGGCGAGCGCAGCGCCTGTTGCCGGCGCTCACACCAGCGCCGCCCAGCTCCGGCTCAGCTACAGCTTCACAGAAATGGGAACAGATCCAGCAGCCCACTGACAGCAACAGCGCGCCAATCGGAAAGAAATCATCCTCTATAGCCCACATTTTCTTCAACCGACGACCATTAGACTTGATTCGTCGAACTACCAGCTCTTTATTAGCCACCAGTGGCAACTCCGAGCCCTCGAGTGTCGTCGTGACACCGCCGGTCACCGAAGAGCGCAAGTTCTGGCAGCCACATCGTCCTCTCGGCGACAAGAGCGGGCGACGGAGACTGCAACAACTACAACACAAAGAGAAAGGCAACAGACCGCAGCCGCAACGAAGACTGCGACTCAGTGAAGATGCCGAAACAGAGCAGAGGAAGCAACACGAGCAAGACACTCGAACAGAAACAGCAACAGAGATATGTCCTCCGACTGGCCAACAGTTCTTGATGGATACAGAAAAAGCAGCGGAGCTCACGGCGCTGGAGCGGGCGGAGATCTTACAGTGCGACGAGATCCGCTTCGTGTCGACACTTGCAGTCAAGCGCAATCGCCGCAATGGCAAGATCCAGAACGATCTGCCAATACACGGAGACGAGGCGGCAGCTCACGTTGAAGAGGAATCAGACGACTTTCCTACATGTACCGAATTATGCAACGACGGCTACGATGACGAGCGCGGAGACTACTTGGTCTTGATAGGAGACCACTTAGCCTTCCGATACGAAGTACTGAGTGCATTAGGTCAAGGATCGTTCGGCCAGGTGGTGTGTTGTCTGGATCATCGCACTGGCAAACAGGTCGCTGTCAAGATCATTCGTAATCGACGGAAATACCGCGACCAGGCTCTCGTGGAGGTGGAACTTTTGACACAACTCCAACGTAGTGGCGACAACGCGCACATTGTGCGCATGGAGGAATATTTCCAGTTCCGTGACCACGTGTGCATCGCCTTCGAGGTGCTGGGCATCAACTTGTACGATTTCCTCAAGTTGCGTCACTTCCACGGTCTCCCCATGCGCAGTGTACGCACAATTGGCAAGCAATTGGCCCAATCTCTGGCATTCCTCAAACAGGAGCAGATCGTCCACTGCGACCTCAAACCTGAGAATATTCTGCTAGATACGACGACTATACCAGGAGATAATGGCATCGTGGACAACGTGACACTCATCGACTTCGGCAGTAGTTGTCTGGAAGGAGCTCCCATGTTCACCTACATCCAGAGTCGCTTCTATCGCAGTCCAGAAGTTTTGCTTGGCCACATGTACTCTGGTGCTATCGACATGTGGAGTTTTGCCTGTATCCTAGTCGAGTTGCACGCGGGTCATCCGATTTTTGCCGGTGAGAACGAGCGCGAACAGTTTGCCTGTATCATGGAGGTGCTGGATGTGCCTCCAATTGAAATAGTGCGCAATAGCAAGCGACGGCTAAACTTTTTCGATGAAGTGGCCAACCCGGCGGATATCAACACTGTGGACTACACACCCAAAGCGTTCGTGAACTCACGTGGTCGTCGACGCTCGCCGGGATCGCGAAGTCTTGTCGGCGCTGTCAAGTCTGATGATCCGGAATTTTTGGCCTTTTTGGCAAAATGTTTCGTTTGGGATCCAAGTCAACGTCTCACTCCTGAACAAGCTCTTCAGGAACCTTGGATACTTCACCACGTCAACCCTGTAGAATATGAGTTATAAGAAGTTGCGGTGTCTATCTAACGCAATGAAAAAGAAATGTAAAGGAACGAATTCTCAACAATTTTCCACTTGTTACGCGACCGGGACCAACACTCCTGGCGGTGCCGTCACTCCTGAGTTTGTTGACGAACGTGATGTGTTCGTGGTAGGAGCAGTGTAGTCGTCGACACTCCACATGTGCACAGTTTTATCCCACGAACCAGAGGCGAGCATCGTATCGAAGCTTTTGTCGGTGGAGGGCGTTGACGCTAGCTGGAACCAGTCTAGAGCACGAACGTAGTCACGGTGTGGCGTTGTTTTCTCTTCGCCAACCAGCAGCTCACGAACGCCAGTGCCTGCAGCTCGGTCGGACGAAAAGCTGTCGGTTGTCACGAAGGCTTTGCCGTCATCACCTCCCGTCGCCAGTAAGTCATCATGATAGGGTGAGTACTTGACGACATGTACAGCAGCTTTGTGGGTCTCACGTCGAGACAGTGGCGTGTGCGGCGAGCGTACGTCAAAGGTGCAGACCAAGCCGCCTTCCAGTCCAACAGAGAATACCGTCGACTGGCTCGGATGCCAGTCTACTGACAGCGCAGGCAGGAGAGTTGACACTGCCAATGCAGCGCTTTGAGGTCGCCGGGCGTCCCACACTTGCACCGTCGAGTCCTGCGAAGCCGAGCACAGCAAATTCGCGTGCGTCGGGTTCATCGCCACGCCCCAGATTAAGTCCGTGTGGCCGTCAAACGTGGCGACCGTCTTGTCCATGGCTCCAATATCCCAGAGTTTCACCGTGAGGTCCCAACTGCACGTAGCCAATTGTGTCTTCTCGACGGAAGAAATACTGACGCCCGTAACAACATCGTCGTGCCCCCAGCCGCACACGGCGTCCTCGTCGATGCTGCCACCAGTGCCAAGTGGCACAAAAGCGAACGTCACGTCCGTCGATAGTTTGGCCAGACGCACGTCGCCGTCATCACAGCCCAATGCCAATACGTCACCTTCTGCGCTGCACCAGGCCAACGACGCTACTCCTGTCTCCAGTTGCAACTCGCATAGCCGCTCGTTCGATGCCGCATCCAATAGAGCCACGCCGCCGCTCCAGACATTGCCTTCAAGCTGTGATTGCGCTACCGCTAGGAGGGGCAACTCCGGCTCTTCCGCGTCCTCGTCTTCGTCCGAAAACAGCACGTTCGGCAGCGAGCAGGCCGCTATAGCGTCCACTTGCGCTGCCGAGGAGAAGGAACGGTGCTGGTTCGTCATGGTCATCACTGGATCAACAAATTAATTTTCGGAATCCGCTAGGCATCTTATTATCGGAGTCCGAGAATAAAATAATTTATAGTGTGTCAGACACCATGTTGAAGTAAAAGGCAACAATGGCTGGACCTGTCAGAGCTTTTCTTCTCCCTTCGCTCCTATTGTCTCTGACTGGGACCTGCCAATTACTAGGTGGTTGAACACGACAGTTGGGAGCTGTTTTCTTGCCATCCTCCTTGTCCCAGTCTCCACGGCAACATTTTCACTCCGTCAAGTGCCATTTCGAAACGCGCAGTCTAGCACCCGAACCAGTACAAGCAACTTGAGAAAGCTAACTCTCAGCTACGATGCGAATGCCCACGGATATGCCCAAGAGCCACATCTCCAAGAACCGCGGAGCCAAGGAGGCGGCGACCGAAAAAATGGACGAAATGCTGTCCGAGGCGGAGAAGATGAACCGTCGAAGTGACCTGGGCGACCGTGGCCGTCGCACGTTGGAGCAGCTTCAAGAAGACGCTCGGAACCTCGGCGAGTACGCGAAAGAGAAGATGAATCACATGAACGAAGTGATGCGTGAAGCGGCGGCCTCGGCTAAGGAATCTACCGGTCTGCCGAACTCTGCTCCAGTCCCGACCGACAAGATTAGCGACACCGTCATGGATTCGCTTAAGACGGCGAGTGAAAAGCTCAGTGAAGAGATTACTGACCTGGGCGAACGTGTCGAGAGTGTCAAGGCTCGTGTCGCCCAGTCGATGCAGACTGCCGGTGGGAAAGCCAAGGACACATGGCACCAGAGCGCCGAGGCTGCGAAGAACGTCGGCGAGCGAGAGTACTGCCTGCCGCTGCCTACCGATCGTATCTGTGCTCGGCACGCTGCGTTTTTCGCCATCCCATTGCTGGCAATTTTCCTATTGATGATGTTCCGTCGTCGCTACCCCAAGAAGTGGAATGCGAGTGTGAACAAGATGAAGCAACCGCGTATGATGTTGGCGCGTGAGATGCCGTCCGCTGATAAGCTCAAGTCGCAAATGGAAGGGATCGCGGACAGCGTTGGGGAGAAGATCGAGTACGGAAAGCAGCTCGGAAGCGCTAAGTTGGACGAGGCACGTAGCACCTACGGTCGACCGGAGAACAAGAAGGACCAGTGAGATTGGACGTTTGGGGAGGTCCTGCGCACAGCTTTTAAGTAGCTTTATCTTCTTTATGAGCGCAGTTGGATAATTGTATACCTGCAATATAAGTTGCTTTTGCAGACAAGTTGCATCGTGCAAAAATTATTAGCGATGCATTAGTGGGTGGGTTCTTATGCAACTTTTTGTCGCTTGGCAGCTTCCGCGCCAGCGTCGTTTTCGCGTTTAATGGCTGGATCTTCTGGACCTGTTGTTCCAGTTGCTGCAGCGTTGTTGTTTTCCAACTTCTTTGCGATTTCCGGAGCGTGTTTCTTCATGAGTTGGATCAAGATGGAGTCGACACGCGCCGAGTTCTCGCGCTGTTTTTCCATCTTCTCGTATTTCTGCTTCAGCTTGAGCTGTAATTCTACTCGGAACAAACATGACAAGCGTCAGGATGTCTTTAAGAGGAATTTCAATTAATGGCGTTGTCATACGCTCAGATGGGATGACGGGTTCTTTCTTGTCCTTGGAGCTGAAGTCCCACGCGTAGCCTTCTGTGGGGCTGAAGCGTACACCCGCTGCAAGCCCGTGGAACGCCTTGTTCACTCGGTAGCTGCATTTTTTCTAGCATATCAATCGCATATTAGTACTGTAGTGATAGTTCTAGTACTCAAGACTACTCCCCGTACGAGACGAGAGGTGAGCATGGCGTGGATGTTCGGGGCCTGGTAGACAGTGCCGTCCAATACGTAATAGATTGCCAGTGGCTCCACCTGCGTGCGACCACTACGTCTCTGCTTGCGGATGATGAAAAGCTGCTGAGGCATCTGCTTTGCTGTATTGGGTAGTAGCTCGTATTCAACACCGCGCAGATTCTTCAGCTGGTCGAGCCCTAGACGCTGCATCTTGAGACGTTCGTTGTTGCACGAGCGGTCGTAGAACGGAGACAGCGCAAAGTAGTGGAGAACCGTTTGTGCGTTCAAAGGGAACGACTGCAGCCACACCGTGTCCCTGAAAGACGCGTTGTAGTCGTCCACATGCGCCGACACTTCCATCTTCCCCACAACAATTCAAAACTGGGAGTTTTATGTTGCTCATCTCATTAAGTTGCACCAAAGCTTCGTCGCCGATTTGTTTTGCAACTTTGCAACTTTGATTCACAATTATGGAGGCGCTGCACGTGACGTATCAAACCGCGCTTGACGGCGAGTTACGCGCGTTGATGACGACACAGCTTACCAAATACATCCTCTTCATGCGTGGCCAGATCCCGTGGTGCGTATCGACCAGAACTTTGCGTCGTAACAGCGCGTAGGTGCCGTGTCTAAAGGGGAATACCAATGCTGCAGCCTTTACGACGAGTTGCTGCAGTTCATTGAGAATCGTCAGCTGCAGCTGCAACAGGAAGAGACGGGAACACAAACGCGGAGAAGGTGCGAAGCTGTTGAAACAGTAGTAGGGCCAAGTTGGAGCTGACTAAATGTTTTCTACCTGCTGCTGAAGGCTGCCCATGAGTGGAGGTATCAAGAAGGCGATGAAATGTGTGGATGCTGCTGAGCTGCTGTTCAATGAACAACTGGACGCAATTTTCTCTCTGAGAGTAAAGAGAGGTGGGTGCTAGCTGACGGCGTTGCTGTATTCGAGATCATGTTGCTGACTTGACCTGCAGTTTTGTTGGTGTTTGGAGCGTCGATGATGAGTCCACGGGAGGCTGTCGTTGTAGATTTTGACGAGGCTGACGTCAAGGCGGTGGATGCGGGATTGACGACGCGCTCTATTCCATATTCACCGCTTACAGACGAGGAAGATATGTCACTAGAAGACTCACAAACACTGACGCCACCTTCGCCGCCGCTTACGAGAGAGAAGCTGATGCGGTTGTGTTCTCAGAAACTCATGCGTGCAGTGTTCTCCCATGCAGTTGAGCAATTCTCTAGGTAAATTTTACTGCGGATATTTGAAATTGTTGCAAGTGGGCGAGAGGCTGATCGCTCGCTCTGTTGTTGATTCTGTAGTGTGTTGACGGCAACAAAGCTGCACATCGCGGTATTAGCAGAGCGGCAGTCTACACGTATCCCAGGATTCGTTCCGAAGCAACACTTCAAGCTTCGCCTTCCGAAGGATAAACGTGGTGTACGGACGCACCATATCGTGATAAGTGATGATGCGGCCAGTAAACCGCAACACGACTGTCAACAGTCAGCTTCGCAACAAGTCTCGAGCGATATAGAAGAAGGATCACGCCAGGCATCAGCTACAGCTACAGCCAGCGACCCAAACTTGATGTGGTATGTGCGGGAAAACCCCATTCCCGGCTTCTCGGAGGTTCTCAACACGCTGTAAACTTTTATTTTGAAGTCGACATGTGGCTTGAAGACGAGTACATCTCTAAAAATATGCCCTAGGACGTTCTGATAATGGATCATGAAGTAGGCAAGGGCATTTGTGGTTCTCGCACGGCAAGAAATGCAGCAGAGTATATCGCCGACGGCGTTCGCCTCGCTGGAAGAGCGAATCGCGAATCTCAACTGGAGGAAAATCTGCAACGAGCGGGAGATTCAAGGCACACTTCGCTTCAGTAAGCAGCTCCAGGAAAGGGACGAGTTCATCCGTGCCGCCAAGAGTGGGAACAAGGCCCATCGCCTACGCATGCAGCAAGTGATCAAGGACGAGTTCGCCAAGCCGCTTCCTGTGACGCCTCAGTTTTACGAGGAGCTAACTGCACTCCAACGGAAAGAAGAGCTGAAAGCACAGCAGGCAGCCGACAGACACCTGACTCAGCTGCACTACATCCAGACAAAACTCGACGCTCGTGAGGCTCAAGTGACGCGCAAGAAGGAGTTTGAACGGAAGAAGAAGGAGCTGTTTGCGGGTAGCTAGGAGGTAGTACATGAAAGTTAACCGCTGGCTTATCATATCAACGGAATGTCAGCAGCTCGATGTCGAAGATGAGGTTTGTGTTGGGCGGCACTAGACCCGGGAAACCTTTGCGACCGTAGGCTTTGTCAGCAGGCACAAACAACTTGGCTCGTTCCTTCATACACAGTCTTTCGACTCCTTCGTCCAGTCCAGGGATCACTTGCTCTGCGCCGACTTTAAACTTGAAAGGTTTCTCTCGATCTCGAGACGAATCGAATTTCTTGCCATCTTGGAGCTGAAAGTAGCAAAAAGTGGTGAGTAAACAGGAGCAGAGTAAACACGAACACAGAGCTGCCGGCACTACAGACGTACGTAGCCCGTGTAGTGGATGACTACAGTCTGACCCTTCTTCGGATAGTTGAGACCATCGCCAGCCACGAACACTTCAACCTGGATCTCGCGAGGGCGCTGCAGACAGCGACGTACTCTTACTAAGAGGTCCAGAGTATATTAAACTATCACGTAGCACGGGTGAATGAATGAACGCACAGTGTTGGAGATCACAAAGTCCTTGGGTTCCATCATGATGCCCCGTTAGCTCGCTTCCTTCCTAAGGGTCGAGTTGCTGACGACTTGCCGAAAATAAACAACGGCAACACCTCAAGCATCAAAAGCCAATGTATTTCATAACGGGGATACAAGCTACGTGCTTCTTCATAAATCCGATTAAAACCAGGTCGAGTTCTCTTTAAGGCTTTTCGCCGTCCACTTCATTCCGGGTGTTCGCTTTTCTTCTTCTGTGGAGAACTGGCCTTCGTCGCTGGCTTAGTAGGTGGCGACGTTTTCGCCTTGGGTCCCGCTGCACCGGCGGCTTTGCCTCCCGGATAACGCAAGATGAGCGACACCTGAATGACACCCATCGTGAGTGCGAACAAGTTAGGACAAATGACCAGAGGGTCGCCCAACATGAAGCCATAGATGGACCAAATGGTGCCAGCCACAACGTTCATGGCCGACATACCAAAAGGCAGGCAGGAAGCGTCCTTGCGACGAAGAATGTTCTTGAGCTGAAGCAGCGGCGACGCAGCTGTGAACACTGACAGGATGTTGGCCGGAATGCCCGTGAGTATCTGCGTCTCCTCAGGCGAGCGCGTGGCCACTTGGTGAGCTAGCAAGAGAATGACCAGCATAGCTGACGTCAACATCCTGGTGGGCTGTGTGCGGTCACGTGCGTGCGTGTAGAACATCAGCACGTAGTACGAGCCCAACACCACGCCGAGAAACGAGGTGCCGCCCACCACAGGATTGCCGGTCGTCCAGCCATACAATGTGTAGATGCAGCTCTGCACGAAGTAGAAGAAGAATGGGGCGAATGAGAACTGCAACGTGCTGCGCTCGCGACGGATGGTAGCGACCGTGGGCCTGTCAAATGAAGAACGACGGTAAGTATTAGTAAAATTTCGCTTCATTATGCGGAGAGAAGGACGACGACGCACCATGGGGAGATGGCAAACACGATGGACGAGCCCACGGCCACGACAGGTACGGACTTGGCCGCCAGGAAGTACGTCATATAGGCAGCATTGGCCAGCGATTGCATCGACATTGTGCGCGTAGTTGCCTTTTTCGTTGTCGTTTTTAAGAGTGGCAGTGGAATCCCTTCACTTCTGCTTGACCCTGCTATAATGGATGCTTGAGCCTTGCTCAAAACAACACATGCCTAATTTCGCAGCACCTGTTTCTTTTTATTCCTTGTAGAAGGCTTTTTTTCGGAGAACTGGTCCACGTGGCCACATTCCTTTCAATCGTTGGCATGACATGTCTCGGGAATGTTTAAAATTGAAGAAGTTGTGGTCGCCCAAAAATAATACATGTTCTGTAGTACTGTATCTTCATTTTCGGGCCCTCAAAATGTATAGAGTATTGTGAGCTCAATATTTTTTTCGATTTCTTTAAGATTCAAGTTTTATTTAAAGTTTTTGATAAAAGAATTGAAAATGGGTAGTTTAAAATTACCCATATCCAATTCTTTGTAAAACAACTAGTTTTACAGTTTTTTTCGATGAAACTTTACAATAAATGTCACAGCTCTTGTTAAGTGCGAAAAATTGGTCAACTTTAAGCTCGATTAGGGGACCGTCCGCCCCTTTTTCCGAAAGCGACGAGGAACGCCGATACGCCTAGCGCCAATAAAGTGTTGGCTCGACTTAGCAAAGAGATGAGAGCGATATCGGAATGGATGATGATGTTCGCGCTTGTGGCGATGGTGCAGGCGAAGTGGCCGATGTTGGGTCCCGAGCTAGCTCAACCGGTGCGTGCAGCCAACATAAGTCAGTTGGTGGAAGAAACTGTGTTGCTGCTGAAGGCGATGTGCTATCGGTGCAACAGCCGACCAATCAGCCTCATCCTGTCCGACTGGAGTCTGACCCGCGGCGGAGCTGAGCTCTGGCAATGGAAGAAGAAGTTGAGAGTGGCGTTTGGATTGGAGAAGGCCCCTGATGGAACGAAGCAGGTGTACAGCCGAGTAGCCAAGTTCAAAACACTCGGCGAAGACCCAAGCAAAATTCCTTTGCCGAAGACCCCGGAGACGAAGAGACGTGAGGTGTTCCGCGCTACGCAAGGGACTCCGTACTTCGAAGACTCCCACATGTTGACTCCGATGAAGCTAAACCCGACTCAGCTAGCGCCGAATCGTGGACAGCGGAATGTAGGTCGTTATCGTGAATTGTATGACGCTGCAGACGAAGCTGAATCTTACGAGGAGGACGAGGAGGACGATGACGACTTCGATGTGAGAGGAAACCGTGAAGAAACCGTGAAGGACTACATCCGAAACTTGAGCTTCGACGCGGCTGAAGAAGACTCGACTCAGTACCTAGAAGTCCAAACCCACGCCTCACTCGACAAAATCGCCGAGTTCGAAGGGAAGCGCTACCGTTCTGACGCATCGCTCCAGTGGCTCAAGCGTTTCATCTTCGAGATGAAGAGCACCAGGATGTCCTAAAGTGCCTGGTGCGAGCCCTTCTCGCTATGCTTGGGACGCGCGGCGAAGAGTTGGTATAGGCAGCTGCCGAAGAAGACTCAGCGACGTTGGAAACTACTCAGCGAGGCGTTCCTGGACTATTATTGCTCACAGTTTGACCAATCCGCCCGCACTCGTTACTACTCGGCGAGACGTAAAGTCAACGAGCCGATCTGCGACTTTCTGATCCGACTCAATGGGTATGCTCGGACAGCCAAGATCCAGTACGAGAAAGGTGGTGCGACGCAGCTGACCATGCTGAGCACTTCTTGCTGCATTGTGGTGATGACGATGTGATAGATTTGATGTACCCCTTGCAGTTGGAGGACATCAGTAAGGTGAAGCAGATAATCAATCGTCGGATCCTCGGTGAAAAGCGCAAGAAGCAACGCGACCGACTCGTGATCGCACGAGGCCGAGACGACAAGCGGAAGGATCAAAGCCGCCGAGAGATGGACGTCGAGATGAGAAGCGCAGTCGCAAGGAGGAAAACCGCGACCGCCGAGTCACTTTCGTTGACGCTGACTCTGACGGGGAAGAACTACTCGATCAAAACCCCTCGAGTCCATACAACTCCGAAGGCAAATGGGATGATGAGGACCAGTCCGGAGGTTACGACTCAGCGGAAGACGATGACTACATAGACGCTGGCGTTGCCAATGATAAGGGAGATACACCGGACCGTCGAGAGAACTCGGCGGGAGACCAGAATAGCTCGAATCGAAGTTGGGGGAACTCGGCGAACCGACCTCCGCGACCGTACAACCAACGAGAACAGTCGAACCGTAAGGATGGATCACGCGACAACTCACAGCGTGGACCTTGTGCAGCTTGTGGAAGAACGGGACACTCGGCTCACTATTGTCGGCGACGCTGCAAATTCTGCAGACAAGTCCATGAAGTCGGCCAGTGCGAGCAGTTTCGTCAATACGAGAAGTTCGCTACGTTCGTAAGGAATTCTGTCGACAAGTCGCAAGTGCCAGAAGACCTGCAAAACCTTTACACGCCGAGTGATTTAAGCTCGGCGGCTCGCCAACACTGACTGGGTAGGAATATGCCGGGCTGCCACAGTCAGCTGAACCTGCAGTCGAGGCGAGCTTCTTGTTTGCCTTTGTAGGCGAAGCAGGACGGCCCGAGGGAAGAAGCGGGTATGGCAATTGGATGTGTGAAATCGACGGAATTGAACGTGAGCTCGGTGAGTTAGAGGATAACCACCGAGCGATTGCAAGTGTAACTCGGCAGTCAGACCAGGCTGTGCATCGTACCAGAATCATGAAGCTGCTTCCAGGAGAACGGCTGGGATGGTGGTCAGCGCGGACGTTTGATCGCCGCGTTAGAATGAGAGCTCTCGTATTGGGGGCAGTGAACGACCGAAGGATCAAGATACTATTGGACACCGGAGCAAATGTCAAATGTCTCGGCGATTAGTGAGTACTTCGCGAGGAAACTGAGTCTCAAGAGAGTGGCCAGCCGAGATAAGCGAATCGACATACAAGGAATAAGTAAAGACAGAATGGTGAAAACGTCACGAGCAGTGGTGAAGGTGACACTCGGCTGGGAAGTGGCATACGAGTTTGAAGTGTGGATAATACCTCATCATGCCGGAGTCGATTTGATTCTCGGCACTGACTTCATGATCCCAGCTGGGATCCGTCTGGATCTGTACAACTCGGCGGTCAAGCTACCCGATGAGATGGTGATCCCACTCATCCGACCAAGTAATGCGCCGACAAAGACCGACTTCGGACCAAATGTCCCATGTGGGCCACCAGACGGGTTAACAATCGAAAGTCGAATGACCGTTGAGTTCAAATTGCCCAGGCAGCAACCCAGTGAGTCGGCGCATGACTTGACGGACGAAGGGTTGGATTCCAACGGTTGTTTTTAATCGCCGAGGAAGATCAACTCATGTCCTAATTACAAACGTACGATTCAAGTCAGTCTGGTGCCCACCTCACTTTTATGTGATAAAATGGCAACCACACGGAGTACTGGCCAATGAGGGATATGTCCGCGTGAACTCGGCTAAATACCGCGACTGGCAGATATTGGCATTTGAGTCAGCGATGGACAAAGATGAAGGAACAACGACTGTACGAGGACTACCGAATTATCGTAGTCCTAGGCGTCACTTCAATAGCAAAGGATGCAAATCGTGAGCACCGACATATGAATGCAAATCATAGTTTTACCGAAGCATTCACTGCAAATTACTGTACCATTTAGCATTCGCTACCGCTATCACTACCGGTACCAGCTTCAGACTCTATATCATCGTCAGAGTCGACATGACCATCAGTTAAATTGCATTTTTCCAGCTCTTGGACAAGCTCGCTATCAATATGTCCCGGATATGAGTCAAAATCTTGCTCAGCACGGCGAGTATCAGCCAATATGCCTACTTTTGCAAATCCACTAACAATTGTCTTTTCTGAAAGCTCGTTCCAGCATTTTGATATCCACTCCGTAATGTCTTCTCTTTTGGGGGGCTCCAATTTAAAGGGCTCTTCTGTATGCTGTTTCCGAAGTCGCTCAACTTCAGACTCTGCTTCCTCTTGCACTAGATCCTTGCGCACACGAATAATATCTCTCTGGAGTTTGTCCCTTTTCTCCTGGCGCTGCTTCTCCTTGGCTCGATACGCAACAAGTTGGTCTCTCAGCCGGTTGATCCACAGACCTCGCAACCTAGTTTTTAGGGGGTTATTCCACGAAATATCTGCCGGTTGGCATACGTACGTGTAACGCGGCGGTACTTTAAGTAGGATAACGTTAATAGACGCTGCATATTCTTCAGCTTCAGGGGTCCAATGCCCGCTGAAATCGTCCCATATGAGTAAAATGTGGTCATCTCGGTTCGTGCGCTCAGCAAAGTGATATTTGAGAAATCTCAGAGACAAATCAAAATTCCACCATGCGCACTGGTTCCCGTAAATTTGACAATTGTAGCGCTCTTGAAGTGGATTAATTTCACGGGTCCACATAGTCGGGCTAAACCCATGGCGCAGAGTGTGGTTCTCTTCCCTTTTTTCCTTAATTTTTTTACGGTTGACACTTGAACACTATGAATGGAGCCAATTTTATGCCTTCTCAGTCCGCCAAAAGCATAGCTGTAGCTCGAGCCTTCTCTTTATTTGCACATTTTACCCAAACAGTTTTCACTCCACGTTGAGATATGGTTTGTTTTGGTAAATACTCAAAATTCACACCTACAAGAAGAAAAGTCATTAAAAATATTTTAAAACTAAAATAAATAAAAAATTACCCGTCTGATCAGCATTGTATACTTGTACACACTTCTTTTCGACGATTGTCTGCAGCACCAGCGCTCGAAATGTCGTAGCTGCATCTTGAGCATCCTGTGGCGTCGTCTGTCCCTGCCTGGTACGTGCACGGAGCGCTAATTTATGGCGACGAAGAAATAGCTTAACCCATGTTGATGTGGCTGCAAATTTGCCTTCAAGGCCAATGTCTGCAGCTGCTTCTTTTGCCTGCAGTTGAAGCATGAGACGGGAGACAGGGGCACCATCTTTCCGCAGCGAATTCACCCACACTACGATAGCGCGTTTAGCCTTCTTGGTGAGCACAGTCGCTTCACCAAGTCCGTGCA